GAAAAAATACACAAAATGCATTAGAATAGCTTCCTTGGCAGCTCTGTATTCATAATACTTGTTCTTTTCTAGGTTCTGATCCGGTTCATTATCCAAAGGAACTTGGCTGTCATTCCCAAGTCTGACAAACAGCAGCGCATTAAGGAGAACATGCAGGTGAGGCTTCTGTTGGGATTACTACAACCACAGCCATAGCTCCTGAGTGTTTCTAGCACTTGGTCGGAGAGGCATTGGAAGGGGAGCACAGAAATGTAGAGATCAGCTCCTAGCACAACCTTACCAGGCAGAATTCTTTTTCTTGTTCCTGTCAAAAGAGAAATGGGTTACAGCAGGAAGGCTGGAGATCTTCAGTACTGGAAGTGGAATCCCAGTTTGGGTCTTACTTTCAGAGATCCTTATTAAACCCATTTTTCTGGGGCAAAAGGGAGGAACTGTAAACATTAGACCCAGTAATCATTTTGAGGCTGTGGTTCCTGTCGGTGGTGAGAATCAGCTGGATCTCAGATTGTATCTCTGTTACTTTCAGTTCATGCTGCAAAATTTGGACTCATTTCTTCTGTTAACCATCAGCAAAAATCCTTAGATGACATTTACTGTGAGATAATGATCTGCAGTTAGTACCCAGGAGTCCTTTGTAATAGCAGAAATATTTACTGCTCCAGTATTTGACGCATGGAGTAATCTACACTTAGCACCTAAATTCTCTGATGATGTATTACAGTGCAAATGGAAGTGGTGTTTGCATTCAATCACCTAGAACTATGAGATGTTGCTTCGAACAGCACTTCAGAGAAAAAGGACTAATTAGTAAACTGTTGTTTGGCTGCGAAATAAGATGATTTTTCTTCTTCTAGTGTGCGTGCAGTATATTCCCAACCGAAGCTATAACAAATGAAAGAAGCACACAGTATCCAACTACTTATGAACTTAAATAAAAAGAGCATTTTCTTGTTTATTTTTTTTCCACAAGGTGTTTGACTTCGAGCTGTCTAAAAAGGAGATGGATGTCATCCTCAACTTTAACAGGAACTGGAGAGCGATTCCAGTGCTGCAGTATGTTCCTTATTATCTTTATTATCCATCAGGCCTGTCTGTCTCTGTATTTTCATACCCTGTATCTTGAAAGCATGAGAGGTCTCTCATGTAAAACTCTAGAGGTCAGGTAACAAGACATTTCCTGCAATGGACACCAGGAGGAAGAGTTTTCAGGGCCTTCCATTCAGTATCTTGTTTCATATGCTTGTTCTCAAGCCGTTACTACTACTAATGACAGCTACCAGCTGCAAGGCTTGCGTATGTTGGCAGTGAAGAATGGAGACTACAGTAGAGAAATGCAGCTGAAGACACCTGGTCCAACACTTAAATAACCAAGTTCTTTCTCTTCTTAGGTCTGCGAATCACAAGGACTACCCATTCAGTGCAGAGTATTAACACCTGCACTTTCAGCAACATCCACATCCTCCACCGCAAACCCTCTGGATTAGGGAGTTCTAATAGCTTCTATATCTATGTAATACTTCTATAGCTGTGTCCTGATTTCTTCTTTTGTACTCAACAGCCATTGGGAGTGGTCACTTGTCCTTCTTTTTCAGGAGGACACCGCTAGCTGGTGAAAGAACGCATCGATGGGAATGGGTCTTTTGTTGAGAGGTTTAGCAGAAATCTGGTTTTACTTCTTTTTTTTAACTCAACGTCTCATTTCTGTTTTTCCTTCTCCTGCTTAACTGAAAACATGTTTAGCAAATGAAGAAAACCCTCGTAAGTAACCAGAGTTTTTATGTTGTTTTCAGTGCAGTAAGCCTTACTGGCTCATGAGTGGCTGTTGAGGAATGCGGTGCTTATTTACTTTGCTTTTCATATAGTTGTGATTTTTACAGTATGAATAATTAATGCTTTAAAGTTTTATATGAATAAAGATTGAGTAAAAGCAAACAAAAAAAGAGAAGTCTGAATAACTTCATCAGTCTGACACTTAGATTTTTTTTCATGTGGTCAATTATAAAAACACACCTGAAGTCTGGTTTTCAAATTTTAATACAGGAAGGAAAGGCTCCTATGGTTCCTGTCCCAGGAACTAATTTGGGACTTAGGTATCAAACAGGCTAGAGCTGTACCTAAAACGGACCTTCCTCTGAACAACCAGAAATCAACTTTTTGTACAATGTAAAGGTGGAAAAAGTGAGACAGAAACACGGGCAGTGATAACTCACAAGAAAATAGACCCAGCAGATCACAGGTCCCAGAAATCTCAAACAAAATTAGATTTTTGCAGTTCTGCTGGTAACAGTCTATCCAAACAGGCTCTAGCTTTATCTAAGATAAATACAAAAAAATATATATTTTATTTAAAAACACCAATGCAAGTATTGAAGTAGACTCAAAATCGCTTTAAATGTTTTCAGATAGATGATACTAGACCAAAGCAAAGGCTGAATTTAAAAGTCTGTTCTGTGGCATTCAGCACACTGACCACAGAAAGTCTGACTGGGATGCCAGGTGAGCAGCAGTAAGGCATGAGTTAAGGTGCCAATTGGGTAGTGTCTCAAAAATCATCTCCTCACCATAGCATCAAAATACCAACACAACACGCAATGCCACTGACCCATCACAGGGATTTCTCTGCAGCAGATGCCATGGGGAGGTGGTTCTGGTTCAGGGGACAAGCCAGGAACCACTTATACGACGATGTGTTCCTAAAAGCAAAAAAAAAAGCAACGAGGAAAAGCATTACTCCAGCCCAGGTTTGGAAGCACATCCCCCCTGAGCTGCCTCACCCAGGGAAGCAGGAGAAACACTGCACACACTACAGCTCACACAGAGAACATTTCACAACGCAGATGCCATGCCTGAGGTCAAGTACCTGCTTTTCTAGGCATGTTGACTTCTGGATGTTGTCTCACACTGGCAAATGTGATAATTAAGATAATTATTTTATTTTTCTCCCTTTAAGAATACATACAGTAAAGCTGATGATTTCAGGGCATAGCTGTCTGGTGTAGGATGTGTACGAGGTATATATCAGGAAATGCATCCCTCGAGCTTCATGGCAATGACGCCTTGTTTCACACGGCCTTAGAGGGGATTCCTATCTCAGCGACAACTGTTGCAATTCCTACTCATTAACAAACAGGGGGCTGCTGATGGAAATATTCCATTTATTGTGAATGCGGTTTCAGAGTACATTGTTTGAACAAATCATTTTTATTGCAGCTATCAAATGTATTTGAAAGACTCAGAAGAGTGTTTACAAAACCCCCACACAAAAAACATGACAACTCATAGACAATGTCAGGCATAGTTTCACCCCCTACAGATAACTACACGCATCTCTATGTAAACAAGATGTTTCAGCCAAGCAGGGAAGCTCATCTTTGGGTTCTTCTCTGTTACTAAGAAGTCAGATGCTGTAAGAGATGGAAGTGGTGAAAGGGAGATCCCGCTAGTTTCGATGCACAACAAAGCTGTTAACAACACACTCGGGGGCTACTTCAGCTGCTCAGTTTATGCCATCCATACACTGTAGGATGTCGATGCTAAACTGTATGGCATGTACATTCAAACCCAGCTGACATCATATAGCCACGTGTTTACTATATACAAATCAAAACGTCTGTAAAGAAGATATTTGGGAGAGAGAGTTAAAAAGAAGCACTACAAAGATAGAGGTTTACTTCATTTAGGTGGACCTGGTGTACGGCACTGATGAATGGCAAGATCTAGTGTACAGTCATTTGAAACAAGCTCCAACTGTGCTTTATTTCACTTTTTAATTATGGTAGTTTTATATAAATTAAACTACAATGTTTTATACAAGTGACCTATTTTTGACCCTCTATACCCTTACCTTTTCCTCTTTTAAAAACTATAACTTTCTTTTTAATTACCCATTCCTGGGCAATTGACATTTAAATTTTTTAAAACTTATCTTGCCATACCTCTAATGGCAATTATGAAATCTTACTATAGGAAAGTGTGTGATTTTGTCTTTATCTTTTTAAAGCTGTGATATTGGCTAATTATGTATGTTTATTACTAAATATAATACTCTAGCATTTATTAAAGCATTCTACTGTTAGTAGTGCCTTTAGGCTAAACTTTGTGAAGCTATGTGTGTATATATTCTAAGTTGCAATCAATTACTAGTCACTAACAACAAAAAGAAATATCAGTACCGCTGTCAGCTAACATAATCATCCAAATTTATGCATTAACTTAAACTAGAATGGAAAAATTGATACTTTAAAAAAAAAGTACAAAACAAAAAAATTAAACAAGCTATTGATGCAGTATTTCTCATGACATGGGCAACTTACAGAAAACATTACATTGTCAACTAAAGATATTTCTTCCATGCCTCAGTCTAAAGTGCAGAAGGAAAGACTTCTGTATTCCAAAAGTAACCATTGTTTTCATAGGTTTACTGCACACCTTTCTTGAGCAACTTCACTTTAAATGCATTTTGGGTTGACCTCTTATGCCAGCTGAAATCACTGTTCCGATCCATAGTTAGTTATGACTGTCAGTAGGAGAGTCTGTATATTTCACAGCATGGGTTTCTTTAGGAATAGAGGTTCTTGTGCAAAGGCAGTACTATTATGATGAATGTCTAGATTGACTATTAAATATAGTGCTAATATACATGGTTTTAAATGGGATAATGCAAAAAGACATTTTGGTAAATAAACATAAATATAAAAAGAACAATTTAGCACTTTTTCTTTCTTTTTTTTCCCCCGACTGATTGGTCCAGCATCTTTAGTAGCCTTCTACGGTTCTTTCTCAAACTGTCTCAAACCTGCTGAGAGAAAGAAAGATTAAAGATGGCCTGAAATAACCCGAACGTACCTCTGAACTAGAGAGGGCATGACTAGATTTACACACAGCATAGCATGGCAGAAGGCAGGACATGACTGGGATGTTGCTGTGCTTGGGTATTGGGCTCTTTCAGAGATGGTTTCCAAGAAGGCAAGCAGGTTTTCACTGGGATGCCTCCCTCATCTCCAGCAGTCCTGGGAAGCAGCCCAGGAGCTTCCCACCACAAAGATAGTGCATTCTGCACCCAGCACATTACCTCTCCCAAGCCATGCATGGGTTGCTACCATAAAAAGCTACAGTGCTGGGCACACACAGTCCAAGTCCACAGCAAAACAGAAATCCAACAGTTGAAAGCCTTCTGCTGCTGTTCCTCTGCTGAAGCCCTCATCTCAGCCTTAGAGAAGGGCTCAGCCTCGCTGTTTCTACTCAGCTGGATTGCTCCTGTGGGGTTTCAATGGCACAGCTATGGGAACAGAGCTGCACTAACACTGAGCAAGCCTGGAAAAAGCCCTCTGAACACTACAGTTTGAAAAAGAAGAGAAGGTGGAAGTCAATTCTATTTCTGTGCAGTTCTAAGCTGACAAAAAATCATCCATAAGCATAGCATAGCTCTTGCTTCACAGATGAAGGTGAAGAAGAATGTGTAAAAAAGAAACATAGCAAAAGTTTTCTACATTTGATCATTTCATTCCTAATGAAAAAAAATAAATAAATCAAGGGATATTGCAAGGTATCTTAATGCTGACCAGTAAATCTCCATTCTTCCCAAGTGGTCCTTAGGCACATATATTTCCTCTAATTGGTTTTCTTTGGAGTGTCTTAGATTAAAGCAAAAATTAAAAGAGTGCATACAAGCTAGGAGGAGAATTTCAGTGACTTCTTGACCTACAACTAAGTTGTTTCCTAGACTAGTAATTTCAGCATGACAGTAGTAAGACTCTTTTTGTCTTGCAAAGACCAATGCACAGCTCCAGCAAAAGCAGTGACACTGCTGAGTGCATCTGAGCTCCATCCCCATCAGGATGTGCCAGTGCAGATGGGATTTGTGACCAGCAAGGTGAATTTTCAAACACTAACACTGCAGAGTTTTCAGCAAGCTTCATTATTGCCCAGTGGCAGTACTTAAAATCAGATACAGGGCTTGTTCTCAGCAGTGCTGAGATCTTATTACTATTGCTATTACTATATTACTTATTACTATACTATTACTTTTGCTCAAACGATGTGGCCACAATAGCTTTGCTTTTTGGCTTCTCCCTTTCCACTTGTGAAAAGTATATCCATTCTCTCTGCAGCCTTTAAAAGAGCCTTTCCCAGATGCCTGGTATTTGCTGCAATTAGTTAAATGACCATCCCATTCATCAGACATCTCAGTTTAATGGTGCTGTGCAGCTATAGCAACCTTGATGCGATGTCACTCGCACAGTACTTGCAAACATAGCTGGAGAGTTTCTTGTCCTCAGCCCTCCCAGATGTTTCAGGCTTATTTCTCAAAATGGTAGCCGTACTTTGGAGATACTGCAATGTAGCTTTTTTCCCCCTTTTTTGGCAAAGGAAAAGAAAGGTGGTTTTTTTTTTTTCATCACCGTTAACAGTTGTAGTGTTTTAAAAACCCGGAACTGTTGTGTCTGTACAAAAATGTGCCAACATTTTTTTCTTTTTAATAGGCAGATGAATTATTAGAATTACTTACCATTAGTCTCTGATTTTTTCCCCGTAGCTGTTACCTGTTTGAAAAAGTAATAACCCCTTATTAAAGTTGAATGTGGAAAAAAGTTATTTATAAAAGGGGGTAAAATCGTCCCAATTCTAAGGGCATAGTTCCAAGCACAACTCAGTTCTTCCAAATAGAAATATAAAAGCTATGTGCTATCTACGGCTTATGGTGCCTCACTGAACTGCACTTTTATAGATAAGAAGGTACATTAATAACACAAGACATGTAGAGGTCTAATTCCAACTGACTGACAGTATGGCTAACAGTGCCTCCCCCACCCCACAAAAAGCCTCACACAGAGACATCAACATTTTAACCATGCGCAAATGTGTTACCTTTGAAGAAGAAGCAGCTGGCTTTTCAACTGACTGCTTCTCCCAGAGATTACGTTTGCCGGATACATCTCCTGGTCTTAAATCCTGGATTTTTAAATTAATGTCAGAGAACATAACAAAAAAGCTTTACTCCAGGTTTATCTTAATTTGATAAAGGAAAGGTTGAC